CCCACCCTTATTCCAATCAACCAGAACTCCTTCTTTCTCCTTTTGTTTTGCTTATGAAATTGGGTAGATATTGATGTCATTTACTGAGATAAGGAAGACTGCAGAAGAAAGAGTTGATTCATTCTGTGTTTGGTTTTCTGAGGAAAACAAAGAATTCTGATTTAACCTTGTTCAAAATCTGTGGGATTGTCAGGTAGACAAATGAATGCACTAGTCTGGAGCTCAGTAAGGATGGTCGGGTTTGGAAATACACAAAATCTAAAATGAATTTTACACTGTCCAGAGGCAAAAATAGTTCTTGATTTTGCCATTCTACACAACTGTTACTGTTCTTGGCCTCTGTTCTTTACTTATATTCAGCCGTGAAATTTCTTTCATGTCTTCTCTCATCTGGAGCGATAATTCGATTGTCCTGCTACTTAATTCAGCAAGGTTGTATTGCCTTGTGGGATAGATGCGAGAAGATATGTAGCAGTGGCTAACAGAAATTTGGCCACTTGAAAAACATGTCGAACTCCTTCGGCGGAAGTTAAAAGTGCTCCAAGGTTAGTCTCTCCTGTCTCAGATATTCAACATTGCTGAATGTCTCAATGAAAAATATCAACTCTGAACTCCCTGTCAGCTAAAAATAACAGTAATTCATAGTCTACCTACACTTTTCAAGGTTAACTCCATGAAAAAAGATATAGCAAAGCTTGCTTGAGCCAAATTTCAGGGGCATTTAGGGCAGGGAAGGGGAAGGCAAAGTGCTGAAAGAGGCAAAAAGTAGAGACGGTATTTTTATCTGTATCGTGGCACTCTTTTCAAAAGATGTAATAGGGTTTAAAATGCTTTTTGAATGAACTTACACTGTACCCTGCGCTATTCTGGATGGTGGTATTCAACAAAAGTTGTTGGAAAACCTGCTCATTTGAAATCTTACTTTAGGATTATCTGAGTGAATGCTGAAAGCATGGTGTGTTTTTTTTTTTAATGTTTTTATTTATTTCTGAGAGAGAGAGACAGAGACAGAGACAGAGACAGAGACAGCGTGAGCAGGGGAGGGTCAGAGAGAGGGAGACACGGAATCCGAAGACAGGCTCCAGGCTCTGAGCTGTCAGCATAGAGCCCAACGCAGGGCTCGAACCCACGAACCATGAGATCATGACTTGAGCCGAAGTCGGAAGCTCAACTGACTGAGCCACCCAGGCGCCCCTGAAAGCATGGTTTCTAATAAGCACACTTGGACTCAAGGCCTGGTGGGGTGACTGACTGGCTAAGGGACCTTGGGCCGACCATTTTTCCTCTGCAGCTCAGGAAAGTGAGTGCTGGATGGAAGTCCAGTTAACACCCTGCTTCATCTCCACATGGTCACACCTTGTGTGAAGCATAGCGAGGTCCCTTCTGTGTCCTCACCTTCGCTCTGTTACAGCTTTCAAAGGAAACTAAGTTTCAAATGGGTGTGATTTAAACCCTCTGCCTGGTTCTCCCTGCGTCTTTTCCAAAACCAACAGGGTCCTTCTGAGATATTTTTAAGGATGTCAACGGCCTGGTTACCTCAGTTCTACCACTAGTGGAATAAAGAGTGTGTTGACATCATTTGAAGTGCTCCTGAGAGAGAAAGGCAATGGTGAAATCACCAGGGATGTGGACATGACTAGAGGCTCCTCAGCAGCATACGCGGCGCTGTGGAAATGTTCTGTGAAGGGGTACAGTAGGTAGGCACAGTCATCACAAAATGGGCGTGGGCTTTATCATCAAACTGCCTGGTCTGAGTCCTGGCTCTGTGACTTTATGACTATGTGACTGTTAGCAAGGTAAAATCTTTCTGAGCTGGTTTCTTTATCTGTAAATTGAAAATTAAAATGAAATATACCTCACGTACACCCTTTTCCCAGAAAGCTACTGCGTACTACACACTTTTGCCAACATGCAGCGGTAAGCCAAGAAAGAGGAAGCCACAGGAGCCAAGGTCCCTGAAGGAGACGGGTGAAGGAAACTCCCAGAAAGTGCTGCAGTGGGGCAGGGGAACAGGGCACAGTGTAACTGGGACAGAAAGCAGGTCTCCAAGGAAAGGATGGAAACAAAAATGTTATCTGATCTGCATAACCATTTTGAGAGTTTTAGAGTTTTAGAGTTATGTCTGGAAGTCTGTAGCCGTGTCAGCGACTGGATGCCTGTAGCACATAATTAAGAAAGGTCTAGAGTCCAGAACACATCAAGTATCCGCACAATGATAAACAAGAGAAAACCTGGCAAAGGACTTGAATGGAAACTCGTAAAAGAGGAAACCCGTAAGGGGTGGGGGAAGAAATGCTCATCCTCAATGGTAATCAAGAAATTACAAATTAAAACTGTAACGAGGTGCTATCAAAAAACTGACAAAACGAAGGGTTCATGTGAAGTAACAGAACCTCCCAAATGCCACTGGTCAGAGTTCAATACTAGCACCCTGGGAAAGCAGTCTGGCATCACACACATTACGTATGCAATCCCGCCTCTGGGTGCGCATCTCAGAAAAAGGGATGTGCATGTGCTTACTTACGACCAAACGCACATATTTATACTCGTGTAAGAACTGAATTATTGAGGGGCACCTGGGTGGTTCGGTTGGTTGAGTGTCTGATTTTAGCTCAAGTCATGATCTTGCGGTTCATGAGTTCGAGCCCTGCATTGGGCCCATTTGGATCTTCTGTTCCCTCTCTCTCTCTGTGCCCCTCCCCTGCTCATGCTCTCTCTCTTTCAAAAATAAATTTAATTATTGAATGTCTCTCTGAATGTAAGTAATACAAGGACAAGGATGTTGGCTCTTGAGTTTACTCCTGTGCCTGGTTTTGTGAATCAGATTAGTGACTCAAGAAATGGTTGTGGAATCATGAAAACACTAATTAGAAAAGATAAACACACCCCTATGTTTACTGCAGCATTATTAACAACAGTCAAATCATGGAAGCAGCCCAAGCGTCCATCATGGATGAATGGATAAGGATGATGTGGTATACATACACACAATGGAATATTATTCAGCCACAAAGAAGAATGAAATCTTGCCAGTGGCAACAACATAGACGGATTTAAAGGGTATCATGCTAATGAAGTAAGTCACAGAAAGACAAAAACCATATCATTTCAGTCATATGTGGAATTTAAGAAACAAAACAAATGAATAAAGAAAAAAAAGAGACAAAGCAAAAAAACCAGACTCTTAACTAGAGAGAACAGATGGTCGCCAGAGGGGATGTAGGTGGGGGGATGGGTGAACTATGCGAGGGGAATTAAGAGTACACTTACGCCCCCAATGTTCATAGCAGCACTCTCCACAATAGCTAAAACATGGAAAGAGCCTAAGTGTCCATCAACGGACGAATGGATCAAGAAGATGTGGTTTATCTATACCATGGAATACTACATGGCAATGAGAAAGAATGAAATCTGGCCATGTGTAGCAACATGGATGGACCTTGAGGGTGTTATGCTGAGCGAAATAAGTCAGGCAGAGAAGGACAAATACCATATGTTTGCACGTATGGGAGGATTAGGAGGAACTTAACTGAGGAACAAGGGGGAGAAGAAGGGGGGAAATGGTGGGGGAAAGGGAGAGAGGCAAACCATGAGAGACTCTTGAATGCTGACAAAAACTGAGGACTGATGGATGTGGGGGGAAGGGGGGATGGGCATGGAGGAGGGCACTTGTGGGGATGAGCACTGGGTGTTATGTGGAAACTAATTTGACAATAAACTATTTGTAAAAAAAAAAAAAAAAAGTACACTTACCGTTGAGTAACATACAGAACTGCGGAATCACTATATAGTACACCTCAAACTAACAGAATACTGTATTTTGGTCACAATGATATTAAAATTAAAGAAATAAAAGAAATATCCTATTTATAGTGTCCTCACAACAGTTTTCGTACACTATCTTTAGCATTTAATAAGATGATCTTACTATATATGGATGATTATTTTCTTCTCATTTGCTCTACTACAATACATAAATCACCCATATGAAAGGCTGGTTGCTTTTCACGGTCGAATGCTACCTGGTCATGGTATTTGGTTTGCTTGATAAACTACTGAATCTATTTTATTCCTGCTTTCTTTAAGTTTTTTGCTAGTGTGTTAATTAGTATGAGATCAATCTGTGAGGGGGAAAAAAAAAGGAAAGAAAGAAATAGCTGTGGAATCAAACTGGATTGGAAAACACGAATACAGCAATAGAAAATTCAGCAAAAATATTTTTAGAAAGGACAGAAAGGTTATGAACTTGGGAAAAGTGTTCAGCCATACTTACCGGGGAAATGGATTTAGAAATGATAATGAGATACCAGTTCTGATATAAAAAGACAAATATTGAAATAATTATAAAACTCAAAGCTGCAAGAAGAGTATAGTGAGACAGATCTTCTCACCGATCACTTGTGGAAACAGGACGAGATACAGGTGCACACACTGCGCACTGTTTCTGGAGAGCGATTTCGCAGGATGTGTTGAGTTTTAAAAAGGGTGATATCCTCCGATAATACAAACAAGTATAATTCCAGTTCTAAAACTTAACTGAATATAGGTGAAATACGATTTATTTATAAACTGTTCATTATTTATGAAATAATATAAAATATGTGAAACATCCAAAATGAGCACTGATGGGATAATGGTTAAATATTCTTTTGGGACATCTGTTATATTATAGGTCATACAGATACTCAAACATGAGACTTTCAAAGAATTGATGATACCACAGAAAAATGCTGATGATCTAAAGGCTAAGTAAAAATGGCAGAATATAAAACTGTATAAAGTATGATCTCAATTCTGTTAAATACATAATGTGTGTGCATTACACACGGAATACAATAATTGGTATGGAAGAACAGACTACAAATCTAGTTGATGTTCAAAGAAGAGATTCTAACTTTTGTAGTTGTTTTTTTTTTTTTTTTTTTTTTTTACCAAGGTTTGTTCAGCTTTTGCTGCTTTAATACTCAAAAAAGAATCGTGGCATCTCCATTTACACTTACCAGATCGATATTTTGCATTATATCCTGAAATGAAGGATGAGTTCGAAACTGTTCAAAGAGATCTCGCTTGTAAAGCAGTGCATACACCAAGTTTGGATTGTGGTGAAGAGAATTTGTCAGGCAGGAGTTGATGATCTCTAACATCATTCGAATCACTTCTTCAATGACATTTAGGTCTTGTGCCTGATAAAGAAAGAAAACCCACACACACAGTGTTTTTCTCGTTAACACATAACTCGTCAGACTAAGCGTAACTGCTTTAAAATGATAACATTGAAAAGATAATGCAAAAGAGATTATTTGTCAAGACTCTTTAGATTAGTTTTCAGATTATTTTTGTCAAGAATCTTTAGAATCAGGTTGATCACTTACTCCAGTATTCGAGTAAAAATCTTTTGAACTCAGTCACAATTAGAAACTGAAATAATAGGGGTGCCTGGGTGGCTTAGTCGGTTAAGTATCTGACTTTCACTTAGGTCATGATCTCGCGGTTCGTGGGTTCGAGCCCCGCGTCGGGCTCTGTGCTGACTGCCAGCTCAGAGCCTGGAGCCTGTTTCAGAGTCTGTATCTCCCTCTCTCTCTGACCCTCCCCTGCTCACGCTGTCTCTCTCTCTCCTAGAAATAAACAAAAACATTAAAAAAAAAAAGAAACTGAAATAATATATCATAGACTTGCCAATCTAGGAGGAAATCTGGTGCTTACTTCAGCCCCTCACTTACTAAACTCTTACTGGTATTCCCATCTTGGCATCACCCTAATTCTTTAGACTTCCACAGTGGAGGCTGGTGGTTGGGTCTTAGCAATTCCAAGAGAAGTGCCTTATTCAGAACATGACCTCACGTCTCTACCCTGTCATTTCAATCTTTCTGTTTATAGATAAATAGTCTATTGTTCTGTCTCTTTTTCCCCAGTCAATAGTCTTTAGGAATCTAAACATGAAATAGCTACTACACAGCAAAAACAATCGACAAATCTCTTGGAAGAAAGAATAACAGAAAGAGCAAAAATACAGGTAAATGCAATAGACTTTCCTTTTCCTTTTGGGTTTTCTAAGTTATGTTTGGAAGTTGAAGCAAAAAATTACAACACTGTCTGATGTTGTTCTCGATGTTTATAAGGGAATATCTAAGACAATTATACTGTAAACCAGGGAGGGCAAAGGGATGTAAAGACAGAAAAGGTTTCTATTTCTCTCTTGAACTGTTAAATGTCAACAATATTAGATTGTGACAATTTAGGTCTGTATACTGTTTAGAGCAGATCTACACAGAGGTCCACACAGAAATACTATATCCATACATCAAAATGGAATTCTAAAAAAGTGTTCAAGTATCTACAGGAAGGCAGAAAAACAAGACATACCTATGAAAAACAGGGAACAAACAGAAAACGGAAAGTAAAATGGCAGACTTAAGTGCTAAGATATCTACTAATAATTACGTTAATTTCAAATGCTGTAAATAATTAAAACTCAGTTTGGAAGAGTGGATGAAAACACAAGACTCAGCTATATGCTATCCACAAGAAATTTCAAATAGAACTCACTTCAAAATATAGTTTGTTCAAAAACAAAAGGATGAAAAAAAAGATATACCATGCAAATATTAATTGAGAGAAATTATCTGACCTATTAGTGTCAGATAAAATATATCTCAAAAGACTGTATGGCCTGCAAAGTAAAAAAATATTTGCTATCTGGTCCAGCAGACAAAAAGCTATCCTTATTTGCACACAATTTATCTTCACCTGTACAATTTATACAAAGTATAATGTCTAGCATTCAATCAAAATGTAGAAGACAAAGAAACAAAAGCGAAGTAAAAACAACTCACATCTAAGAATCAAAGTAACCAGCAGTATCAGACTGAGAGATAGAAAGATATTAAAAATATCTAACAAGAAATTTAAAAGAACTATATTTACAAAATCTACCACGATTGATGGGGAATTTCAGTGGAGCTGAAAACTATAAGAAAGTGACAGATGTAAATACTAGAACTTAAAAAATATAGGGGTGCTTGGGTGGCTCAGTTGGTTAAGCATCCGACTTCACTCAGGTCATGATCTCATGGTTTGTGAGTTCGAGTCTCACACTGGGCTGTCAGCGCAGGGCCTGCTTTGGATCCTCTGTCCCCTTCTCTCTCTGCCCTCTCCCGCTCAACCTCTCAAAATTAAATAGTAAAAATAAGTAAAAAATATATAATATTAGTAGTAAAGAACACCTAGATGGGTTCAATAGTGGACTTCACAGAATCTTGAAGAGATAATGGCTGGGCATTAAAATAATGAAAGACTCAAACAATGATCCAGAGGCTCAGAGAATATCCCCCCAAATCCACCCAAAACAAAACAAAAAATACACATGCAGATACATCATATTCAACTATGAAAGCCAAAGACAAAAAACACATGAAATACAGAGACACAAAGATAAGAATTATCGGAGACGGCTTGGAGAAACTATGCAAGCTGATCTAAAAGGAGTGGCATCATTACGGTGCTGAAGTAAGAAGAGCCAAGCAAGAATTCTATAGGTCGCAAAAATATCTTTCAAATGTGAAGATGAAACAGAGATTTTTTTTCCACACTAAAATAAGCTGAGATAATGTATGAGACACTTGTTCTGTAAGAAACATATGACAATTTCTTCAGGCATTAGAATGAATATAAAAACAGACTGGATGGTAGATCTATACAAGGAAATAAAGCCTTTATTTTTTAATCATTGTAGAAGAAAACTGATCTCAAGAGTAAAATAGTAGCGTATTATCAGTTTATTGCATAGGTAAAATATATCACAACATTCTCTTACTAATGGCCATCTAATTAATTCCTGTTTCCTCATTTCTGTGAGCAAGGATGCAGTAAGTATATGGGTAGATCTGCTCTTGTGTCTGTCTTCTATCTGTCCTTGTAGCTTCTATCTGTCCTTCTACTTCTCTGGGATTGGTTCGAGGAGAGGGATTGCTGAAAATACCGAATTTGTATTGTTAATAGATGTTGGTAGATGGCTGCTTAAAGAGCAATGACAACACACATACGCTGACAATGCAGGAAGGCTTATGCCCTGAGTTTCCCATCCACATATACAATCATCTCATTTAATTGTCACTGTCTGGAAGATTTGTCACTTCTGGACAGTTGTGTCAAAATTTCCCCAAATGAGAAAAGACTCCTCTATTTCTCCAAGCGATTCATATATTTAGAGTGACTCTAGGTTCATGATTGCTATCTTTTTAAAAGAACATTTTTATCACTGTACTTTTTCTCTCAATCCATATTGCTGTTTTAGTAAAGCATGTTTTACTGATATTAACACTGCTGTACCATCTTCATTTTCTTTTAAACAGTTGCCACGTATATCTTTAACTTTCAAGCCTTTAATTTTTAAATCTTCTGTGTTACTGGAAACATACAGTTAAAAGCAACTATATAGCTAGGCTTTATAGTCTGTAAATCTAATCTGCTAGTTGCTGAATTTTCAGTAAGTTTGATTCACTTGCATTTGTTGTTATTGTTGACACCTTCCATCATGTTTGTGACTTTTAAGCCAGTTAGCTACTGCCTTGTAACAAACTACTCCACAGCTCAGCAGCTTAGAATAGCAACAATCATTTGTTTTGCTAGTGATGTGGGCCGGCCTCGATGGGGACAGCAGGTCTCTGCTCCACATGGTTCACATGAGGACGCCTGACTGTAGGCTAGAGGACGTCCTGGTACAGCGACCCTCATGGCTGGCAGACTAGTGCCAGCTTGCGAGGAAAAGGGTGGGAAGCGCCGCTGGGGGTGGAGGGCAGGTTCTTTGACTCTCTGCACATGGTCTCTTCTTGGGGGCAAGAACTTCCTCACAGAATGATGGTTCCAAGAGATCTCATTATCCATTCTCAAACTTTTATTTAATTCTAATTCCCAAGGAAGATGACCCTGATAATCATAATTTACAAGCTACTTGCTCCTATGACTGGACTTTGGTGCAGGCCCCTACCGTGCATGGCAATAAGCAAATAAAATCCTTTATGTTTCGTTTTTAAAGAGCATCATTGGACAATAATCATTACTTGTAAAAAGATGAAAAATAAGCATGAATTTGAGAAGAGTGTCTTTACCATTTCAAACTTGTCCAAATCTCAGTATTTAAACAGACCTAAATGTTATCTATTCACATCACCATTTGGATGTCAGAATTTCAAATGGTATTTAGAGAAGACTGCTATTCGATTTTTTTCCCCATGAAGATGAAATGAAATAGCACTTTTAAAGCCCTTAAAATAGTGCGTAACACACAAGTAGTACCATGTGAGTGTTTTTTAAAATAAAAATAATGTATTTGAAAGAAGAAAAATCATAATTTTAGACATCATATAAAAAGAAAAAGATAAATGCCTTTCCAAAGTTGATAAATTAACTCAATTACTGTAACTATAAAGAACTAAGAAATCACGTTTCTCAGTCTTAAATATAAGCGCCAAATTCCACTTCTATTAACTTATAACTGGTCTATCAGAGGGTACGTATAGGAAAACTGACATTTATGTAATTATATAAGGTTTTTATAAAAAGACGTGTTTTAAAAAGCAGTCATGTTTCCCCTGTTTTGTGTCCAAATCAGCTCTCATAGATAAAATCTGATGGCTCACTGGTAGAGCAGCAAAATATGTGGAGAATATCATGTCTTTTTCACTCATGGGATTTTGTTTTTAGTACATAAAGCTTTCATTCTAGAAATGGATCCCAGGTCAGACTTTCTTTCCAAAAAAACAAAAATCCCCCCCAAACAAACAAACCCCCCCCAAAACCAATAACCAAAAAAACCCCCAAAAACTCAGACTTATTTTATTGTAGAAAGTCTCAAATGTAAAAAGAGGACCCTGAAAAACTGGTCCCGTTTTCAGACGTTTCTGACGGTTTTTGTACATGTTGGTAATGCACACCACACAGGTTCTATGCAAAGCTGTGATTTCACATCTAACCGACAGGCTGGCAGTTGTGGGAGGATCTGACCCTGTCAACAGTGCTCAGGGCTGCCTCATTATATAAACTTCCTTTTCCTTTTAAGAGGGAATTTATACAGTTAAATAGTTTCAAATCATTTATTTTTAGTTTCCTTAAGAGAAGCATATGTATCTTGTTTGTATTAGTTTTGGGGGGATTCCAAGAGAGTTGTCTAAATTTCCTGCGTTTT